TATGATTTACAACTACATGGAGCCCTTTATTATTTGACATTATAAGAAATGAAATTAAACACCTTGAAAAGATATCCATTATTACAATTTCATTTAAACATAGTTTTATATATTTGAAATCTTAAACAAATTTTAGAAACAATGATAATTTATTTGACTCGTAAAACCATGGTAGAAATTTAAAAATTATGTGAAGTTTGACATTAGTCTCATATAAACCATTGTAGAATATTATATAGACATTAATTTTTTATAATAAAATCCAAAAAAGATATAGAGTATACTTTAAGCAAATATCAACTGATTTTGACAATTTACCTATTTTTAGGAATATTAAAAGAGCATTTTCCTAACAAAAATCATGTATTTATGTTTTAGTAAACCAACGTTAATATTTTTTAAATAATGTTTGAAAGATATCACTCTTTGAACCGGAGCTACAGGTTTAACTTTCTTTAACCAACATTTTAAGGCAAAAGAAATTCAGTTTAATATTTTTTTTCGTAGTTTTTTTTAAGTTTATTCTCTACTTAGGCCACATATTCCCAGATTGCACACATAATGACACAAAAATATTTTTATGAGATTACTGCCCCAAATCTTTTAAGAGGATGGAGAAGGAGTAGGAAAGGAAATAAAAACAAGTAGCCAAAGAAAAATAAAAGGATCCAGCTTCAGATAAATGAGAAATTTTCATTATGAAAAGTCAATTATCTTCCTTCTTCAATAGGAAGATTAGATGCAGGAAATTCATTTTCACATATACACATAAACACACACACAACACGTACACCCAAAGATTTGTTATACTTGGTTTAAATAGAATAGCCTCCCCCTCAAGTTATCTCTTTCTTTTAAAGACAGAAAAGATAATCTCCTCATGAGGATTGCTTTCCTTTTTGTTCAAAGATGACTCACAAATGAATGAACTTGCTTATGGTGAAGTATAAAGTGGCCCTTCTAATTCTAAATTTTATTAGTGAGTATCCATTGAGTATTCAAATATCGGTGCCATTAGCATCATGATACAGTATGAACATATAGGTCTCAAAATGTCAATACCACACTCTTATCTGTCTGTTTAAAAGTGTTTCAGAAAGTGAAGGGAAAAAACAAAGTGGAGCATTCTTAATCAAGGACTACAATTATAAATGCCCAAGCTACGCTATGACACAGCAAGACAGAAGCAGAACTCATCTGGCTGAGACACTGTTCCTTTTCCAAGCAGATCAGGCTGAGGGAGAGGGAGTCTGGCACTGGCTGAGACATGGCACCAAAACTGAGGAAAGGGTCAAATTAATCTTGAATGACACACATATCCCCATCTTGATTTGTTTACAATAAACCTACTAAGGAGAGGTTGTTATTACATGATCATCATAGAGACACATGAGCTCTGATATTAGAAATGAGAAAATAACATCTTTTTCTGCATATAGGAAAGTGAGATTAATTTTATGACTCTTTTTCAATGAGAAAAGACTCTTCTACCACAGAAATTAGTCTCCTGCCAATGTTGGTATGATGTGACCATAAACTCTTGGCTATCTATGATTAGA